CACCAGCCACCGGCTCATCAGCAGCTCGGGGCCTGCCGCCGCGCTCTGCACCGCAGGTCTGCAGGAGGTGCCGACGCTGCTCGTCTGCAGGTGGTTTCCCACCGACGAATCGGCAACATCCACGTGGTCTCCCACCATTTGGTCTCTCATTTGCACGACAGCCTCCACCATCCTGCTGATGACATGGGGCTGAGCCATCACGGCTTTATCCACTTTTTTCCTAGAACCAGCCGCCTGCAGCTCCTGTTTTAATTTGGTCATTTCCCTGTCATGGGTTGTTTCCTTTAACTGAACCTCTAGCCTGTAAATCTTCTCCTTAAGGGCTTCGATGGTCTGCTGCTGAAGCTCTATCTCCTTCTCAACCTCCGTAGACAAGCCAAGCATGGCTTCTGTCACCCCAACCCCAGCCTCTCTCACTTCTTTCTCCGTCCCCACAGCTACTTCTCTGTGTTGCCTTGCAGATCTGTTGTATATAATCACATCGTTCATGTTCTCATCAGCACCTACAGCAACAGATCTGGTTTCTTTTGTCAGGCTTTCTCTGTTTACCCGGAGGTTTGCTGGACTGTCATAGTTGCTATCCTGGATTTTTTTCTCCAGGGCTTGCATCTCAGCAGTCAGCTGCCTGAACTCCTCTATCCTCTGAGAGCTCTGCTCCACGCTCTCCACCTCTTCCTCACAATCTATATACAGTTCCCCGCCTCTTCTCACCTGAGACATGTGTTCCCACTGCTCTGCGTTTCCCGCACTGTAGGATCGCTTTCTGAAACCGTACGTGTCATTTTGAGTGGCTTTCCTCTGGTTTTTGAGTTCAGCCATCATGTGCCTCTTCTCCTCCTGTAACACTGAAATTTTGACCTGCAGCACGGGAATGGTCTTGACTTGCTCCTCGAGCTCCTTGAGACGCTTGAGGGCAACGGCCATTTGCTCCCTGATGTGCTGCAGATGCACCGGGCTCACGTTGGTGACCGGTGTGGATATCCCCGAGCTCATGGGGCTGTGACGAATGGAACTGCCCAAGGAGGGGCTGAAGCAGGCACCGTAGTCGCCGTTCCCCTGATACCCGTTCTGCAGCTGCTGAGACATGTGACCGTACCCGCTGGATCCCACGAAAGAGGGGAGGGAGCTGGTGGAGCCCATGCCTCCAAAGCTGGAAAGCCGGGGCCTGCGGACATCTCCAGGTGTGACCTGCATCATCCTCTCCTGCTCGAGTCGCCTCCGCGTTTCCATGAGGGTTTTTGTTACATGGAGGTTGTGCCGAGGAGGCTGCGGGGAGGGAGGAGGAAGCTGCCTGGTCTCAGGGACAGTTAAGTAGGAAGGAGATGCTTCAAAGGAAACCGAAGGTCTCGCAGCAATGGATGAGGCTACTTGACTCCTCGCTGCCAGACAAGACTGCTTGTTCTCATCACTGTTGGACGAAGAGAGAGACTCTGTGGAGGTCCAGCCACTGCACTGGCCACCAGAGTTCTTGGTACCCGCCGAGGCTGGCACGGCTTTCCTCTTCTTTCGGATGTTCAGTTTCTTAATGGTATTCCCCTTTTGTATATCATCCACGTACTTCAGAAAATCCAAGTCGAGCTGGTAGCCGTAAGGTGTTTCCACAAAATAGGGGTCTTTCCGTTCTTTTTCATCTTCTCCATTTATGATAACTTCCTCTTTTTCTGGAAAAGAAAAAACAAAATCAGCACTGGAAAAGGAGCTATGCCTCAGTAAACTACGCGCTGAAACACAAGCGCAGAAAGATGGGTGCTCACAGCACGCCGGAAGCAGAAACTGCTGCTGCAGCTCAGCGAGCAGACCAGCTTTCCGCTGACTGACCCTCAACACTAAATCCCGATTAACTTTTAAAAAGTTAATCAGTAGGTTTTCAAATGCTGAGAAGCGCATACCCACGTCGATGTGCACACATGCACACACACGGATAACGTCTGTTAACAAAGGGGCACAGAAGTGGCACAGCTAGTAGCTCAAAGCCGTCCTTCCCCGAATCCCTCCAGCCTTCCCATGTCACACCAAGCCTTCACACGCGCTACACTGTCACGTAAAGACCACAGGATGACAACGTACCGCACGGATCATCTGGAGACTGACTTCTCTAGAGGGTGCATTGGAGCAGGCGATGGGAACTCTGACCCCGCTCCTTACGCAACCGATGCCATTAGACTTTACACAGACCTGCAGCTGTTTTACGGCTTTGGGAACTGCCGCAAGAGCAGCGATACCGCTTCGCCCTCGCTTCAGCTCATGTTACTTCCACCAGCACCTCTGCTCTTTCATTTTAAACTGCGTGAAGCCCCCAGCACCAAGACAGGCAGCAGGACCCCCTTCCAGCCAGGTCCCGAATCCCACCACTGAGGGGGACTGTCGCCTCGCACGTCAGGAAAACCCCGCTGCCCTCCAGACACAGGACTCGCCTGTCGCCAAAGCAATTTAAATAAAACTTCACCAGATCTGCTGGGCTTCCTTGGGCTGAGTATTTATACGCAGTGCTGCTATACAACCTGCTCCTCCCATCCCACTTGAGGGTGGGG